CATCTGAACATTTCAAAAATAGATCAGTGTTGAACATGGAATGTGCGTGGAAAGCGGCCGGTGGTGCAGACGACGTTCGGGGCGACGTACGGGGCGGCGCGGACCCACTGCTAGTGCACTCCCTCACAAGCCCGGTGCGCTATACGCTTGTTTGCTCCCTTTGCACAGCAGTGTCTGGACCCGGACGTCCAGACGCTAGAAAGTCCAATCAAGCAACCGACTTTCTCCCTCGTATTGATCGGTTGCGCTTTCTATGCAGTGTCGGCCCTAGGGGTAGGGCACTAGGTGCGACGCCCGAGGGCCCAAGTGGAGGAGGGGCCCAAGCCCAGGTATACAAACCCCTATGTTCTATGGTCCATTATGCATTAGCAAACTAATGAGAAGAGAGACATAGAACTGGCCTGACGGCCCAAAAAGACAACATCGGCATTTCTTTCCTGGTTTTCTTTCCCCACGGCCCTCGGGTAGAGAGGATGCGAGGAGTCACGCTGCACACAACACACTCTAATCGTGAGTTCGTGACGTGCGCCTTACACATGCGGAGCTGGCAAGCCACGCCGCCGCGAAGAGCTAGACTACTGGAGATACGGATACGGTGCACGAGGACGGCGACCAAGCAGGGCTCCACGACGACGACATCTTGATTCTTGGCTTCTTACGAATTGCAATCACCGATCAGTTGTTTAGGCCCAAGGTATTTTTTTCCTTTTTATTTTTAATCCAAATTAATTATTTGTATAGTATTCCAGACTTCTAGTACTTTGTACTCATATAGTCATATTTTTCTTCTAATTTAGGTGTTAGAATTTTAGAATGTTACATAAGAAACATTTGTCGTGGGTGAGAAAAGAAAACAAATATATTACTTTTTTAATCTATATTGTCCCTCGATAATTATCATACATCTATAAATATATTGCTTAATCTACATTGTTCCTCGATAATTATTAGACATATTAAATTAAAAATATATTATTGAATTTGCTTTCGTTTTATAAGTAAAATTAATGTCTATATATTATAAGATTTTATATATGATCGAGAGAGGCCGCCCGAGGGCCTTAAAATCATAGGACGGGCACTGTTTCTATGACCAGTTATACGCCTACCTCAGAGTGAAGAACAGTTTCAGAAAACAAATGCATGCGGCCTGGCGGGAAAAAAACCGCGTTGTTCCTGCTGAGTGCACTGACCATGGACATCACACTGCAGGTATGCCTTTCGGTGTGTCTTCTGAGCCACCTGCAGCCACACCAGCATAGAGAATCAGCGGGTACAGGGTTTTTTACCCGTCACATCGTTACCGGTTGGCGGTAACCATCACCCGTACTGATTTGTCCGGCTGATCCTGACGGCACGCGGTGGAGCGAGAGGAGCCGTTTATCAGCCTGTTCGCTCGTTGGAGTCGGAGTTTTCTCTTAAAAAACCAAAGACCACCGGTAGGTCCAAAACCAAAGACCAGCTCCCTACCAGCGAATGAGTTTGTATGTCCCACACCAAAGGCAACAAACGGCTCATATGCGTCCTTAAGTCGATCGGCCGCCCTTGCTCACTGTAGGTATGTAGCTCGTGATAGCTCCACCATTAAACAGAAGCCGTACGTACGTCGGCCGATCGAGCTGGAGGGCAGGGGCTGAGGAGTAGCACGTACTACTATCTCTGTCAGTAAAAAAGGGTCTGTTTAGATTTAAAAATTACGTAGTGTCATCGAATTTAAATCAAGTTTGAAAAAAAAACTAATATTGGTGAGAAATCGCGAGACTAAATTTATAATTTCATAATTAATAATTACTAAATATAAAATATGAACCAAAATCCAAAAAAATTTGGATCTAAACGGGCCTAAAATGTAACTATGAATTACGTGTCACCTTAAGTGCTTCACGTTTAATCAAGTTTCTAGTAAATAATATTTATATTTATAACTTTAAATTAATTTATTATAAAAATACATTTCGTAATTAATCTAATGATATTTATTTTTATATTATAAATATAAATATTTATATTTTTTTATCTATAATTGATCAAACATGATATACTAAAACATGATGCTATTCTAAAATTGCATTTTTTTGAGACTGGAGGAGTGCGTACCTACGTCCCCTCGCCAACAAAGCTCACATGATGAGACATATTAATAGCTGAGAGCGAACGATCTCGGTCGCTCGTACGCCCGAGCCAGTAGCGGCTAGCCGGCAACCCCCGATCGATCGACATCCTTGGCTGGCTGGTAGATGAGTCGTGCATGTTATCTCTTTACTGGTCCACCGGCTCAAATTCTACGTGTTGCATGTGTGTGTGCCAGACCTATGAAATATGCATACTGGCCTCTTTCTTACTACTACGTGATCACTGTTTTTTTTTGAACCTCTCGTGATCACTGGTTTTTAAGGACGGGGCATGTGACTCTCCATAGCCGGGTTAGCCTGGGCATTTGGTTTAAACCGACAATTCGGTTCGGTTTATTCGGTTTCACAAAAGTTCGGTTTTTAAGAATGAGAAGCCGATCGGTTAATTAGAGAATGCAACACCGCCCATTTCGGTTTCGGTTTCTTACTTGGTTTTCGGTTTAAACCCAGAAAGCCGAGCCTACCGCCCTCACATCGCCGCATCCGCAACGCATGAGCTTCAGAGTAGCAGATGCGCCATGGCTCCATTTTTTGCATGGCCGCGCAGATCCGCGACGACGCGCCACCGCCGTCGCTTGCTCGCATCCGTGCGACGCGCCACCGCCGTCGCCTCAATATTTTTCACCTCGTTTTCGCGCCTTCGCGCCGCAACTCATAGTGATTTTTTTTGAACCTCTCGTGATCATTTAGGGTTTTTGGGAGAGGGAGAGAGGCGGAGGAGTCGACGGGTCACGGGAGAGGGAGAGAGGGAGAGGGTGCCTCACAGTGTCTGCGCTAGATCTCGTCATGAGCCTTGGTGGTGCATGACGGCATCAAACATTTGGGGAAGAGGAGACGGTCGACGGGAGATTGATTTGTGAGTCTAACGGTTCTGCGTAGGTTCGGTTACATTCAGGTGAAACCGACTCCTCAACCGAACACCGAAGTTCCCAGGATCCAAAACCGAAACCGAACCGAAAAACCGAACTACCGATTTTCGGTTCAGTTTCGGTTCAGTTCGGTTCGGTTCGGTTTTCGGTGAAAAAACGCCCAGGGTGATAGCCGGGGGACCAGCCGGGGGTATAACCCCTGCAAGCTGCTGCGTACGAGCACGGAGCACCTACACGGCGGTGGGCGGCGGCGCCGGGAGAAACACTCGTACAACGACGTACGGAGGTACACGGCCGTACGGGGTGGTTCAAATGCAAGCGTTTGTAGCTGCTAGCAGGCGTGCTTCACTGCTTTGGAACACACCTAGGTACCGAGACCGACCCGAGACGAGGCGTGAACACGCACGTCGCAGTGTTTGCTAACCAGATCGAGAGCGCGGCATGGTGGTTAGAACTCAGATCGGAGTCGAAAGAAGGGTCTCATTTGTCTGCGTCGTCATCTAACCATGATGGCTTGGTGGCCGTACGCCGTGGTCCTCCGCCGAGGTGCGTTTATGCTTGGCAACTAGCTGTGCGCGCGCCGCCGCCGGGTTCACAGGCTGACACGCTATACTGCTTCAGTCCAGGATCGAGTCCTGGGCAGGGCTGAAACAGCGGGAAAAAAATTGCATGCAAACTGCCTGCACCGACGCAGCATGCAGACTCCCAACCATATCTTGACACGTGTCTACCTGCCCTTGGCAGCCACGAGACACTCGTCCATGGCGCTGTCGCAATTGCCGCCAGGCCCATGGGCTTGCTCCCCGCGTGAAGCCGTTCCTCGCCTCGCCGCACGATGAAATCCTGGGACACGTGGCTGTACGCTGCGTCGGGTCTGCATGCTGCGATGGTGCAGTCGGTCTACATCAATTTTTTTTCCGAATCGGCCGATCCATCAGACCACCGCATGCACACGTACACCACCATCTGTAGCGCACAACGTCGTGCATGTGCCCTGCTGGCCTTTGGAAAATTTGGAAACGAACAACGTGCCCTCCGGTCCCTCCTGTTTGTCCTCGAACTCCTGTTGCCTAATAGGCTCACTATTGGGATTTTGTAGTTTGTTATTAATCGTTTCTTCCTCTCAACGAAAAGCGTATTCGTGATAAGAAAGAAGAAGATAAGGTTGTAGTATCAAAGAGGTGCAATGCGCATACATGTACAGTGATAAAAATTCAGTTTCCCTGGCAGATTCAGACAACGCTCGTTTTCGTCTTGGACTGCGTTAATCAGCACTGATCTAGTAGTATTCAACATTATCCTACATGCATGTGTGCAATTTGATGCTTTTTTTTTGGGTCTGCGATTGCGATTCACATGCCCTGGGTAACAAAAGCTGATACGACGCACTTTTTCTGTGTACCATTAAAAAAGATGGTCTTTTTCTACATGTCACTGAAAAGTTCGGACTTACCTAGGTGCCATGACACTTTATTTCTTTGCCCCTCAAGTCATTCCGTCCATTTTCGCGGGTAACGGTGTGTAACGGCGAGGAGAAAAGACCGAAGTGCCCTCAGTCTAGGAGGATGAGTGAAATTACCGTTTACCCTGTGTGTCACTCCCTGACCAAGCGTTTGAGTGCCAAGATGACAACCTAAACCGGCAGCAACCTCTTCTGGGTGCCGTGCGACTGCAAGCAGTGGGCGTCCATCACCAACGTCACCGGCAAAGGCGCGACGCTGCTCCGCCCTCTACCCGATGATGGGTCGTCGACGAAGCAAGCGGTGACGTGCGGCGACAACCACCGTGGCGACCGCCCCAACGCGCGCTCCGCCGCGACCAACGGCATTTGCCAGACGAGGTCCAAAGATGTGTCCGCCAACACCTCCACCTCGGGGTGCTCCACCTCACCGGGAGCGCCCGGCGCCGCCCGCTGCGGGGAGGGCCTGCGCGGCGCCCGTCGTGTTGGTGCGGCGAGTGCGACGGCTATTTCTCGGGCGGGCGGCGCCTTCGACTACTGATGGGGCTCGGCGAGGGACAAGGTGTCCGTGCCAGCGTGCTTTCGCCGCTAACGGCCTCGTCGCGTCCGGCGGCTTCTCCATGTAAGCTTGGCGGCGACGGCGTCGCCAGATCAACTGCGGCGACGCCGGCGGCCGTGGCTAGGGCGAGACGCCCTTCACCGACCGGAGCACACCGTAACGTGAGCTTCACGTCCATCAACGCCGAGACCAAGTCGGTGGCTGCGGAGTTCGCCGCCGTCATAGACTCCGGCACGTCCTACACGTACCTCAGCGACCCGGAGTACACGGAGCTCGCCACCAACGTGAGTCCCTTCCCTTTCCCTCTGTGCACGCTCATTGAATGAGTGTGATCGATTTCTTTTCTCAAGTTTCTCATGTGTCTGCTTCGAGTTCGTGCGTGCATGCAGTTCAACTCGCTGGTCGCGAGAGGAGAGCCAATTTCAGCAGGCGGCTCTATGACCTTTTCCCTTTGAGTATCTGCTATGAGAGTCGGGTAGTAAACAACGGGATCTCCAATTTCTGTTGTTCCACTTTCTAGAAACAAAGTCTCTATTAGTGATTGTTTTGCATCTTCTTCTCAATCTCATCTACCATGGTTGTGATCGAGTTGCAGCCCTAACAGACCTGCATGAGGTGCCGATCTCAGACGTGAGAGCCTGACGCGGCCAAGGCGGAGCTCTGTTCCCGGTCACCCAGCCGATCATCTTCTTCTTCCACACGGCCACCGCCCGTGCCGTCGGTTACTGCCAGGCGATCGTGAAGAATGACCTCGACATCAACCTCAACATCATCGATCTTGTGCTCATCAGGGTGCCGTCTTGGCGCTCAAACGCTTGGTCAGGGAGTGGCACACAGGGCAAACAGCAATTTTGCTCATCCTCCCTAGACTGAGGGCACTTCGGTCTTTTCTCCTCACCATTACACACCATTACCAGCGAAAATAGACGGAATGGCTTGGGGGACAAAGAAATAAAGTGTCATGGCACCTAGGTAAGTCCGAACTTTTTAGTGATATGTAGAAAAAAACCATCTTTTTTAATGGTACAAAAAAAAAAAGGCTCATTTTTATACGCGCAAGGGATCACCACGCCGGGACTGGCGAGGAGAAAGGAGGCACGGGGCAGCCGGGCAGCTCTGCTCGATTGATAGCAATGGTTACAGAAAAGAAGGACGACTTGATGCTGCGCGTCTTTGTCGATGCAGATACGCACTGTACCCTGCCGGATCTTTCCACTGGCCATGCTGCTCCATTCTTTCGTGTCCCGCTGTGCCGTGCTGACTGTACATTTTTTTACTCGATATAATATGCATATGTTTATACCCAAATTTAAAAGAAGAGTCGCAGGGACTCGAAAGCTCTCAAGATTATATCATCAAGGAATCAGTTACGTGTAGATCAGAACCAGCTCATTCAAATGCAGCATTGGAATCGGCTTTCTTCAGATAGCGCCAGCAGATAACGACAAAAGCTACGATCGGCGCCGAGACAAGATATGTTGGACTCTACAAAAAGAAAAAAATTAGAGTCCAAGTTATCTCAGATTAGGAATGTTTTCTCTTAAGCCCAAAGATTGTGATGAGTCGTGTTTAAATAGGAGTCATGCGTAGGTCCCGGGTATAAATATCAAACCCTGATTATTGTAAAACACACATAATCAATCAAATACAAGTTATTTACTTTTTTCGGCTCCGACCACCCTTAGGAGTAGGAGTAGAGTAGATTTCGGCGAGTTCTTCAGCAAGTACGGCTGCATCGATCCGGTTGACCTCAACTGCTTGTCTGTAAATACCGTCATGGCTTATACCTCTGTTCGTACGGCTGCATCGATCCGGTCGCCCTTCACTGTGACTCTGGTATAAGTTAGTTATCGACTCTTGTCTAGTTCAAGTACGACCGCATCGATCCGATCGACCTCCACTGCTCGAACTAGATTAATGTCAAGTTATCGGCTCTATCTAAGGGTGGCGTTCCTTCAGATAGATTCATTAAGTTATCGATATTGCTTATTGCTTTCATTATTTATTTAATTACAGCAATATCATTTCGCCCGATTGGGATTGATCTAGATCGGCCTTATATCCTTTTTAACCCATCGTTTGTTAATCTAAACTGATCTAATCTGCACTTTAAACGATGAGTTATGTTTTATCGGCTGTTGATATCAATCTTAATCGTGCATAGCATGCGGTTAAGACATGTTTGATCTTAAGTAGATTTGTTGGCTAGCGAAAACCGTTCCATGGCCCGTTATCATGGCCTGTGTGATTCTGCCTCACACCCCACTGTTAGCACCGTGGAGCGGAGATCGTTATTTGGTAGATCTGTTTCTGAGAGGGCATGATCTTAACTGTGCGCTATGCTTGAATCGTCTGTTTTAGCCGATATCGAGTGCTTTCACGAACAGTTCACGTCACGAGACCGTTGAAGTAGCGATGGGTTGAAAGATGTGTTTGCCCCATGATTTTATTATTGTATTACGACATGCATGATTCTGCCTCATGTCCCACTGATATTGGTAATAAGTTAGGGTCGTCGAGTCTATTATTGTTTTTACGGCCTGCATTATTCTGCCTCATGCCCCACTAGTCATAGCGATAGATGAGATCTAATATGTTCATTAGATTTATCTCTATTAAATGGTTGAATGATGATGAACTGTATTTTTTATAAAGGGGTTCGGTTACTTGCAGTCATTGGCTCAGTATAAGCTAATTATTGTTAATATCTTATTGCCATTGACCAATATTTGTCTAAAGAATGATATTCATCCTGAACGATAATCGATTTTTCTTACACAACCTTATGAGGTTTAACCGATTTATTCTTATGAATATGCTGGAATTGACTATTTAGTCGATCTCCTTTCATATCGGCTCTCAAAGCCGCACATTTGAAACTATCTGACAACACCGGCATGTTCCACCCTAAACTACTGATAAACTCTCTCATTGTCAATTGCAGGATTAAATTGACTGGCACGCCTCGGGAGGAGTGCGCATGATCGATCACCCCTGCGCTGAAGCTAGACGAATCTCTAGCTCTCAAATGGACTCTTCCAGATTTCTCATGAGTGCTCGGCACGGGACGAAATTTCGGGTCGACAGCATCGCATTGCACGTCTCAATGCGACGCGAAACGGCCAGACCGGCACGTATGCGTACACGATGGTGATGCGGTCTGCAGCAGCAGTTGTCATGCATGGTGCTGTCAGAGCAGGACATTTCACCCCTACCGCCTATCGGTCGGTTGCCACTCACTCACGTACGGGGTACGGCGTATGGGTACGGGATCCGCCACTGCTCGCGGTGGCTGGCAGCTGGCAGATCTCATGTCATCGCGCGCGCGCCCCCGTCCAAGGGCTACCGGGTACCGGCTCCGGCGGCGGCGAGGCAGGCATCTTCGCCGTCTTGGGAGATCGCCCAGCCCAGTTGCCCACGCGAGCTCCGACAGGGGCGCGTAATGGCCGGGGACCCCGTGGCCGGTGGTCCATATGCCATGCATCCGGACCGGACCCTCCGATCCATCCGCCGATCAATCGCCTAGCTACTATTGGGATCGATCGACGATCCCCGGCCGGGCCTTCTACGGCCAAAAACTTTAGGCGTCGTCCCCCGTGACATGCAGATCGATCGACCTGCCGGTGCCGGCTGATGCTCAGCTGACAGCTCAACCTACCTCAGGCGCAAAACGTCCGCGGTGAGGGGGGTGTGCACGCTGCGCAGCCGTGGCCTGTGGTCCAGTGTGGGCGCAGGCACGCACGACGTCAGTGGCGACGGGGTGCTGACGCCGCGGCGCCGGCCGGATCGCGCGGCGCGTGTGTTGCCCGCGTGTCTGCGCGCTGTGTCGTCGCGCGGGGCCGCATGCATATGGGCGCCGCTGGGTCTGGAACGGACATGCTGCTTGATGTGATGATGATGGATGGGTTCTCTCGATCGAAGGGGTTTTCTCCCTGCTGTGGTCCTGTGTGTCTGTCGTGCATGTGGCCTGTGGGCGTACATATGATGCGGCGTTTCTCTTTACGTGCCTCGGTGGAGCACGGATAGCATCTCCCTCTGTTTGCTTGCCGCTTCCTTTCCTGTTGATCTAGATCTCATGTTTTTTTTTTGATGTTGGCAATAACGAAGTTACTAGTTGGTACTGCATGGTATAGTACCGTAGTAGTATTATACTTCTCGGTGGTGGCTTATGCAGAATTCACTCCGTATAAACGGATTGCTCGGCGAGTCTTTTGTTTGCTTTCTGTGTGTACTAGAATGTGTGATCAGTCACGTCAGTGGCGCTTGAAATATAATCTTATCCATAGCAACATTTTAGCGGCGGCAACGGTACCGCGGCATTAATATTATGGCTCTCGTTTGTGCACTCAGGCTATCCGTACTCGTCCACCTCTATTTTCATTTCTAAAAAGGAATATTCTATCCTAGTCATCGAGATTCTCTACTCTATATCCATTTCTCCCGTATCCATGTTATCTCTATCCCATATCCTATACCCACTATTCCATATTTTATTCCGCTCTCTCCCTCTTTCTCTCTCAGCAACTCTTTCTCTCTCCGCGCTACAGTACTGCTACAGTGTTTAGCGTTTTCTCTCTCGCGTGCACGGTCTGTGGCGTTTTTCTATGCAGCCGTAAAAAGGCCATGGCGGTCTGCAGACGCTATCACTGCTTCGATTTGTCGCTTTTTTAGCCTTTCATGCTGCGGAAACAACCTCATATCTTTTCACAAGCCCAATTTCGTCCTGTTTACTTAGCTTATAAACCGTACTTTTTTCAGCTAACGAACAATATTTTTTTCTTACGACAAATCAGCCAACAATACTTTCGACCATGGCTTATCAGCCAAGTGAACAGGGCAGATAACATTGCATACCTCGCGTGTCGCCACTCGTCGAGTTGTCGTCGATCAACGGCAGTGACGTTCCTGAGGTGATTGATTTAATAGCCGGAATATGCTAACTCACCATATATCCTCACTTCTACTACCTTTACAATGCTAACTCAACTAACCCACAAATTTAAACGAGCTAACTGTTTTTATTTTTTCAGGAAAAAAAACAGTTAAGTTAGGCGTCAACCTTTTTCCCGGTTAATGTTTTGATGCTAAACTAAATATTAATTTTTACATTATAAATTGTATGACATTTGTAGTTTTCTAATTACATTGTTTTTACTATATATCTAGACATATTGTACATCTATAAGTGCATAGCAAAAACTATATATCCGAAGATAAAACATCTTAAGGTTTGGAATGGAGTGAGTCATACTACAATATCTATTTTTATCTACAAAAATCCGCTTCTCCAACATATCCATGCCGAGCCTAGCTCGACATCTTTATGTGTTCTGCCATAACCATTTGGGATCCCTCTAGAACGTAGGTGTTGCAAAACATAAGAATAATAATAAAAACATTAGAACTGAAGTTGCATGAGAATTGTAATCCTACAAAATTCACAATTTAGAAAAGT